ACAAGTGGTTGAGGTAGACAGAACAAGCTTATGCATTAGGATGTAGAGAGCACCCACCTGGAAGAACAGATTACCTTTAAGTTCTCCTCAACTCTGAAATATGAGAATCAGAGATCGGAACGAGCAAAGGCCAGAATACATTGGCCAGTTATCCACTGCCCTGCCTTGAAAGAGCTTTTGGGATACACCCACTTCCCTGGGATACAGCCATCTTATTTTTGTTCCATAAGAAGATATCCCTTGACTTAAAAAACAGCTCCCCTCCCCATTAAATGACTCTTAAATATCAAAATGGAGGAAATCTATTAGAAATGTTTGTTTTGAAACATGTAAATTTTGTGAAGTTGCTTCACCGCAAAGGCAGGCAAGAGGATATAAAGATACTGAAAATGGTAGTTCACAAAAAAAAAATATATCTGATCCTGTAATCTACGTGTTGACAAGCTGTTGGGCTCCATCACTCCACCAAGCAGTAGATACTTGTCTTAGATTCTTCTACTTGACTGCTTTCATCAGATTAAGCATCTGGGATTTAATTTAACAGTTTCAGCTTTATTAAGCTGTCACAAGAGCGGCCCCGCTTTGATAACAGTAGCTGCTCCAATTATGGCTTGGTTTAGGGTTGACAAGTATAATGATTCATTCGTGGCACATGAGAAGCAATAAAAGGTTGTTTTGCATTACAGCTTTAAAAATGTGGGCACTTTTTTCATTTAATTTGTCACTTAGCTTTTGCTAAGAGGACATTTAAATTGCAGTAAAAGGCAAATGGGGCTTTTAGTTTAAATGTAATCCCCATATTTAAATGATCTGTAATGGCGCAGCGTTCGAGTGGGAACACTATTGTTTCACAGTGGGCCCTGATGGTGACATGTGACATTTGTATTCAGGTCCTGTATTATCCATGTGGCTAAAGGGCTTCCAATTTCATTTCACAGCCAGAAGCCTGCAGAAAACACCAATTAACTTGCAGATCCCATTTGCCGACAAAACTCAGCCTCTTCTCGATGTCTGGCATCTGGCAGTTCTCAACATTTAATTCCAAAGCAGAGCCTTGTAGCCATCATGATCCCTGTGCTAGGGCACTAAGTCAAATTTTCCCCTTTTATTAAGGATTTTTCCCCACTTTTGTAGACCACAAGCAATTTTAACTTAGTTTTTGATGGATGAATATTCAAAAATTATTGCTGAACTAAGACTATATAGACTTTTTTCCTCAAGAGTATAAAGAAGGTTAACTGACCTTTTCTTGAAATCAGAGATCTCTGATCTCAGCCATCAGCAGATATTTACTGTGCATTTCCATATTCCTCCATCTTATCAATGCAATTTAATTAAATAGATAGACCAAGGGGTTTCATTTAATTAATCATTTAAGTGCTGAACCATCTATAGAGTTAACATCTAAAGATCAGCATGTGAAATTTACCTACTGAGATACCCCTTAAACAGCAACAGCATGGAGAAATCCTGCTCAGCGACAAACTCCGCAAAGTGCATTCATATATTACTGTTACAAGTTGGAAGCGATCACCAATGCATCACTGAAGTCACCCCTAAATCCTTCCGGCTTGAGAATTAAATAAGCTAGTCTTATAGCTTCAACCTACAAGCTTGATCTTGCCAACCAATCTGGAATCTAGAAAGTAGCTTTTAGCTCAATACATTCTTTTGAGGTACCATAGAAGAATCAACATAATTACAGTATTCTTCTGATCTAAAATCTTTAAAAACAACAACAAAAACATATAGCCACCTGACTTGAGGTTCTTAAACTGCAAATTGGTTAAGAATTTAGTATTTTGTATTGACTTCCTAGAAAATGGCGAGGCTCACACTAGCCAGGAAGCTTCTGGGGGAAGAAAGGCAGTGCGATGGGGGTTGGTGCCTTTACTTATTTATTTTTATTTAAATCAGCACCTTCAAACATTCAAACTCAACCTGACCTCTCCTGAAGCTAACAGACGTTACCAGAGGAATGCTGGTGAGAGTCCAGCGCGCCCGTGCCAACACACAGTGCCCGAGAGGAAGTGTCAGTGAAGCTCTGGCTCCAGCGAGCCAAGTGAGGAGCAAAGCTTGAAGTATTCAAGTAGGCTGAAAATCCGAGGGCAGCCTCAACCAGCTGCAGGCCTAACGGTTGGCAGGCAGCACCCCAAAGCGAGCAAACTGGCCTTGATTAAGTGGACTCTAGACTCATATATTTTTTTGTTGTGTGCTAAAATCCTTCGTAGTTGCAATGTTAAATTCTTACCTACCTGTGAAATAAATGAGATCAGAGCTAAGGCTTTTTCTTAAGGACACAGATAAACCCCAATCTCAGGTTACTCTGAACAGATACCAAAAGGTAAGCAGGCAAAGGCCTGTCCCAATCCCTAGACTGATATTTTAGTCCCACCCTAGGGGAATACAACAAGGCAGGAACTAGACATTTTAAGAACACGATGATACCATCACCCCCTTAGCCCACGTCTGAGCTATCTCTGCCACTGGCGCAGGTCTCAGGTCTGCAGGGACAGTCTGCTCCTACCTCTGCAGGTTGTTACTGTAACTCCGGTCTGCCCTAACACCTCCTCGGCCTTTTGAACATTCATGTTTATTTAGAGAAGCATGTTCACCTTGGAAAAGGATTACTTTTTACCTTGAGTGAAATTTGAGATGAAATTATAGCAAAAACGTGGCAGCAGCTTGTACTTTTCACACAAGGTGGGAGTCAACCCAGAAAGACTAATCAAGTTAACTGTAATTTTTACAGAACTTACTAAGCACCAGTGGAAGGAATCCCACCAATGCAGGAAAGAAGTAGACAGCTTAGCAACGTAAACACAAGACCTACAGCTAGAGGTTACGTTACCCAGTTGTTGTTCTGCCTTTACTCTAGTGCATGCTTGAAGTGGGCTGCTACGTATTTGTAATAGAAACTGGTACGGGATCAAAATACTGTGATAGTGTTGCAGGCGACAGAGCAGTTCAGGACTGCTATGGCAGGAACTTAAGATTACAAATACAATAGCTGAGGTAGTGGTGAGGCTGGGAATTTGCACTGCAGCTCTTTGGGGGTGGAAAATGTAATTCTGATGAAACAAGTTAAACTACTCAATTCAATTAATGTGAAATATTGGTTATTTGATGCTGCAGGCAGAGAGATTCCAATTTCTCCCCCTTCAGGTGGATGCTGTCAAGGAGATGATGTTAATATGAAACTGATGAAACAAGAAGAGGAGCCACTAAGACAATTTACCAAAACCTTTTATGTTTATTGGCAGCATGTGGTAAGACTGCTACAGGTAACAGATGGAGAACACATTTCTGTCTCTCCCACCACCTACCAGCTCAATCCACATAAGCAACAAAGCATGAGACCCTCCAGTTTTCAGAACAATGAAATTTTGCCGTGTGTATGTCCATCTAAGCATGAGGCATGGGTGCAAATTTCCCTCTCCCCCTGTCCTGCTTCAAGTCAAGACCAGACCAGAAAAATGACATGCTAAAAGGGTTATTAAATTTGAAATAGAATGGTTATACCCACACTTTCTGACAGAGCCTTGTCTGCTCTGATTTGAAATGTTCCTCCACTGAAGTTCACAACTTCAGCCAGGTGACCAGTGCTTTACTGACCTAATGCTTCACCGTGAGTAAGCACAGTTTATGCTAAACAGACTCCATTTGGTCTTAAGCCCACTAGACATCAGAGAATAAATCAGGGTTGTCTTTATCCTATGCAAGTGGAAAACGGAAGTCCTACTTTTGACCTTTCTGTTCTAAATGAAGATTTTTACTCTTGTTTTTATTTAATTTCATTTAGCTTTATTCTGAACCTTTTAAAATTTATTGATTTTGATTTTGGCTCTTTCGGTGTTTAGAACTTACCCATGGATACTGCCTATGCATTTTATATACATATTTCATTACATACAGTATTGACCAGAATACAGCTGAACACAAATTGCTGTAAGACTAGATTTCAAGTGTTTTTCCAAACTGAGGAGGGACATAGGCAACTACTCCAAGTTCCTCCTGGACAAGACAATTCTGTTTAGGCAATATGTCTTCAATTTGAGAATCTCCACAATCGCATCCGAAACCTTACTACAGCTAACACACACTACATTAATTTCTTCCCTTATACACTTAATGAATTATCTTTTAGAGAAACAAATTAGATTTACCATTATATTTTCAATAACTGAGGTTGTCTTTTATCATTGTTATCCTCTGCATGCTCACACACCAGCAGGTTAGTGGTTCGTTCCAGTACCATACACGCTACAAGAGCAATGCTGGTGGTCTGTCGATACTTCCTACCACCCACCCTTCTTTAAAAGATCAATGACATTTACCTTTCAGCAGCATTCAGTTTCCCCTCACTGCCCCAAATTCTCATAGGTTTTTCAGAACTTCTGAAGCAGTCACAAATAGTTTAAACTGTGTCAGCTAGTTTCTGGATACTGTAGAGCAAGCATCAGACTCTACCAGTTTAAATAGTCTTTTCCCATTACTGCTTGTGTTCCTCTAACTCTTCTACAGCTTAGTTGTGTATTCTGTAATAATTAACACTTGCTGGAAAACAGGAATTGTTTTAGCCCCCTTATTTGATCTCATTCCCTGCTCAATAATGGACTTCTCTCCTTTGCTACATCTTCTGTGAGGAGTATCTTTTCATACTTTCAACAAATATTCCGTCTTCTATCCCTCTCTAGTGGTGAACAGACTTCTTTAACCTTTCTTGTTTTTTTTTTGGTCTATATACTTACCCTTAGTTGTATGGATATGTTTCTCATTTTGTTTGATTCGTTTTAGTTCCCCAAGTGATTTACAGCCTGCTGCAATTGAATGTTTTTCTTACCATGCTGCTTCTCCTTCCACTGCTACTTTCTCATGCAAAACCCTGCAATCTGTTCGATCTAGTAGCACGATAAAGCTTCACCCCCTCCCCCAAACATTTAATTGTTTCTGCATTATACACATGAACCTCTAGATGATTGTGAAATCTGTGCATTTACCCAGTTCATCCCAGAGCTGCCTATACTTGTCAGTCATTGCAGTTCCTTGTTGTCTCCAAAGTGACAGGCGAGGGTCAGCCATGAACTGTTCTGTTATCAACGTCAACATGCGAGCTCCATTCGAATCTCTCATCTTTAGCATCTCTCGCACCTAGAAAATGAGTCTTTTAATACAAACTTGGAGGAAAAGAACACACACATAGCATAAATAATTTCCTGCAGTGTTAAGCATTCTACCTCTCTCCTAACTAAGTACAATTAATGTAACTAACTGAGGTGAATTTTTGAAGTAGAAAAAAAAGTAGTCTGCCTTCCCAATTTAACAATGACTGTGGATTTCAGTATGTCATGGCAACTCTTCAAACACACCACTTCCACAAGCAACCCATTTGTGATTTGTGTATTATGCAAGCTGCTGCAAGATTATCAGACAGGTTTCTCTCATGTTTTGTAGGTGAGGAAGAAGAAAATGGCAAAGTTGAAGATGGTAGAAATGTTACTTCATTTCGTTAAACTCATCTCAAAACACATCAGATCGTGTTCCATTGCTGCAGAACAACTCATTAACTTGCTTCCATGTTCCCAAGACTTAGTAACATGGCTAACAAGCATAAAAGGTTTAGAATATTCAACAAACCTTTGCAAAAAGCAAATTGAGCTGTTTCCCTGATCCATGGTATCCACCTTGCGAGAGGAAGAGTTTAACCTGTTCTTGGACCTGTTCCTCGTCTAAATGCCAGCAGTTTTCATCATCTATGCTAGCACCTGCTGTTGGATCTGGAGCACCTGCAAAGAGCAAGAAAAGAAAACAACATTATTTTCTTTACAAAGATCAGCATTTCATGGGTCCAAGCAAGAGGAGCAATTAAGAGCTTTTTGGATTTGTGGTCAGTCCCATTATGAATGTCCTGGCTTTCATCTAAACAGTCTTTATAACAAACTTAAATTTATTTGGAGTAGCCTATGAAGAAATGACAACCTAGGAAATGGCATTTAAATAAACATCTTTTTATAATAACAATATTAAAATTAAAAATATATATTTTCTAATATAGCTGTTGAGTAAGGAGAAAATTTTACATGACATTTTCCTTTTTTATAACTGTGATATTAAAACCACTCTCCCCATAACAATTCCTGTGCAATTCCTGTTCCTTCAGCCATCCTGCTCGAGGACATGTGACTGACAGTGAGCACTGCTACTGGTGAGCCTGAGGAAAACCATCGGTCTGGTGGAGCCTCTGAGCTCCATCTGATAGCTCTGCTAAGCTGAACAAACAGCTAGAAAGAAATCCCCAAACAAATCCAATGTCTTAAAAGCACTAAAAACATTTCCTACCATAAATAAAAATCACAATTGTGCAAGAGCATGGAAGATTTTTGCATAGGTGATATTATTAGCAGTGAGTTAAGTCTACTTAACTCTTCCTTGATTATCAGCCCAGTATGAACCAAAAGGCCCTCTTCTAAAGGACTGACCAAAATAATTGAAACGAGTTTTGGCACCATCCAGTAATCTACACCTTCCTGAAGCAGCCAGCACTTCCACTGGATATTTTTTAGAGGCATCAAACTGAAATCGCTGAAGAGCACTTCTCTAGACTGCCAGAGAAACTCAGTTTAATGCACCACTGTAGCAGGCATCAGGTATTTCAAGTATGCCCTAGACTCAAGGTAACTTGGCATTTAGGGTTTGGGGCTTGTCACAATTGCACTTTATGGAACTTTGTTAGGCCTGGATTTTAAGGTAAAATTTTGGGTGTATAAATTAAATGTAATCAAGACAATCTTCCCAAAACTCTAATCAGGACAAAGCATCTGCTTTTGCTGAATTGTTTGAGCTCCTTCTAAGATATAATCTCTGCCTCCAGCATGTTTCTAGATGTTAGAAACAGAACCACCCTACACAATATACTACCTTTAAATCGCAGGCCACATTACCTGTACAATCAATATTAAAAGAAGGCTACTGATGGGCAAAGGAAACTACATAGACAGTAGTCTAAAAACCTGCATCCAAGGAAGTCCTGAGAATATGAAAAGACTGCTCTTCAGCAGGTATTAAACATTGATTCTATGGATTTAATCATTCATTTAACAATTGCAGCTCTGCCACACAGGTAAAGCTTTTGCAAGGAATGATGGATTCTTTATTCTGTGAAAGTAACTGGAAGATATTTAAAGGATGAAGGAGATATCTTGTATGCAGCTTGTTGCTGAGAAAGACAAAAAAAGCATACAGCTCAGCAACTTCCTAACCTGCCTCCAACTTAAGAGCCTCCAACTGGGAATGCTGCACTAGTGCTGTCCTTACATATATTTTTAGATTAATAAGAAATTGTGTCTTTGAGGATGCGAAAGTGCTCTCAAGCCTTCCACAGGAACCGTAAGAGTGTCTCTTAAGGCAGAACATGAGCCCCAGACAGTGCAAAAACTATGGAATGAAGAACTTCCTCACGGTGCGCGCGCTTCCCTCGGTCACATGGCAGTTTTAGGGGGCTCTCAGCCCAGCCAGCCCCGCAGGACACACGCTGAGAAGGCTTCAGCTGCAGGGATCCAGACAAAAGGGGAGATCAAGCCACACGGGCACAAGCAGTGCAGCTGTTGCACAAACCCAGGTCTGTAGTATCACCTTGCAAATAGTTTAAATATTTCATTGCTCTAAAACACAAAGACTTGTGAAAATGAATTATTTAAATATATATATACACACACACACAAAATAAACTTAGTATACTTTATTCCTTATTTCAATGGAAATTTACCTTTAAATAATGTCAGCATGGCTACTTCTAAATTGTACTAAAAATAGTCTAAGATTCCTCTGCTAAGCTTCCCTATTTAGGGAAAAAAACAAAATTCTTTCCATAACTGTTTACATTTTATCAAAAGCTCGCTGGCAAGTTTGTGCTACAAGGTTCAATTTCCACATAGCTCCCGCAGGCTCTAGCAGCAGTGTTCCCACACCGGAACAAGGGCGCCCATCACGCCAGGCCAGTTGCTTTGCCCTCTTTGCCACCATCTTTAACATTGCTGCCATGATCCCCAAAACACCATCCTCAGGCCTCAGCATCACTGCACTAGCACCAGTACAACTCTCACACCAGAAGAAGGGATACCAAGTGAAGGGTCTGAGGATACCAAGCCAAGGACCTGAACTTCAAAACGCTGCTCAGCACAGTACTACAGACACCTCTCATTCCAAGTCATTTTTTTTCACAAGATTGTACACAGGCTACACTCTGTATGATCAAATTTCTTCATCAGGAAAGTCAGGATGCATAAGGAAATTTCGGTGATATCCAACTGGACTTGACTTGGGCATGTGAAATTAGTATCTACAGCCCTGGTTGGTACCAAGATCAACTCCCTTTCTCCACTTCTAAACTGGATATAAATACTACCTATATGCTTGGCGAAGATGATTAGTTCACACTTGCACTATGCAAGTGAAAAGCAGTTTATAATTATACTAAATATTAAAACCTGTAATTAAACGGTGTCAGTTTATAGACACTCACATATTAATCTCCCTCCCCTCAACCTCTGGCTTTGTTAATTCCCGTCATGACTGGTCTCTGAAAAAGGTTTTATATTATGAACCTAGAGATAGGCAAATACACTAAATGAAATCTTTATACTCAGTCTATAGACATGGCCATACATTTTTACCCACGCTTGATGATGGAAAATTAAAACACCCACACAATCTTAGCAATCAAAGCAAAACACCAAGTTGCACAATTATTTGTAAAAATCTACACCTGAATGCCATTTTTAAAAGGACCTTTCTATTAATGGTCCTAACATTTTACAAGTAAAAAAGAATCCACTCCCAAGTTCCGATCTGTACAAGCATTAAAAAGGACACTTTCATCATTTACATAGCAATTCTAAGAGCAACTGCTTTTAAAATAAGTAACTGCACTCAATAAGTTGTGCTGTATATGGAAAACTTCACTTCTAAAAGAAAAGTAAACAGAAGCAAAGCATGGGTCATTGACTTTTCTTTTAAATCTGTATCAAGAATGAGTAGAATATGACCTAAAAATAGCCTAAGCTGCAATCTACTCTGGAGCAGATCAACAGTGTAATTTGGATAAAATGCCACTGGAACGCAGAGTCTTCAAGACAAACTGCTTCCCTGATCCCCATTTGTGAAGTATCCCAACGCTTACTTTCATCTTCAAATGAAATTGCATGAAATTACTTGCTCATAGTGTTCATACTGCACTTTTTAACTTCATTTTATGAAAATCTTGTGAGCTTAAGTATACAAATGAACTGTAGATCAGTTAAGTTTTATTAAATGTCATCCCGTGTCAGCATTAAGATGAGAACGTGGAAAAAGATTACAAAGAAAGCATGACTGACCGAGTGCTATGCAGAGATCGAATGGTCACAGCTAGCGAGCAAGGCTGCTGCCCACTGACTCACGACGGGATGATAATTGATTTTATAAACCTGGTGTACTCAGAATTATTCTAAACAATAATTAAAAACAAAGATCTTAAAATTAATGATTCAAAAATATTATTATGCCTTTGATTCCCAAAATGCTTCGAAGTTTATACAGAAGTCACTTCATCTTGCACTTAATTTCAGAACTCTTGGGTGGAACACAGCACCTGCTACCCCACTAAAGAAAAGCGGCGATTGCTGGGAAGCAACTAGTGTTAATACCAGAACATGTAAATGCAGGATAGGCTGCAGTGAGCTGGCGAGGAAGGCTAACAAATCCTCAACATGCTTTTAACTTTCAAATCCTTCTCCTTTCCTCTTCATCTGCATGTACAGCAAAATGCATACATTTATCCCCCAAAAGCATCTAATCTCTCCTGCAAAAATCCTAGTCTCACACACATTACCAGCATTAAGTTTCAAAGTTCATCCATGTGAGATGGACAGAAGAATTTCCTTACCAGTACAAAGCAGCATTTTCAGTGGGACCCCTTATCTTATGCTGCATGTTTCAAAATAAAACATCATGATTTATTTTTAATAAAACAAGTTAATTTTAATGTTTAATGTATCTGAAACCCTTTCCTAAAAATACAGATTCATCTAGGTTTTTTTCATACTATCTTGCAGTTATCAACCCTTGATTTCATTTTACACTTTACTAATTTACCTCTACTTAAACTTCTGAAATACTTCTAATTTTGACTAGTTTTCATTCTCATGAAATTCATGCAAATTCACCTCTTGTCCCTTCCTTCCTTCCTGAACCCAGATCGAACAAGTCTAATGTCAAGTATTGCAGCACATAACAGTTATCCTCTTGAAAGGAAAACTGGCTGCCATTTCCCACATGCATCTCTGGCAACTTGCTTCTCAATCAATTTTGCTGGCTTAAGCAGGACAATAGAAGGAATATCAATCCTTTATATAATTTAAATGATTTGATGGCAATCAACTCCCTTTTACACTGTTGAAGAATTCCAGTATATTCCAAATACAGAGTTATTTACCAGTCATTTTTTCATCACTATAATCTCCCATGAAAACCCCCTGTCACTTCAATTAAATGACACTAGTCTAGAAAAAGCCACCTTCATCTGTGGGTGATGCAGATGCTCCCTCCAGCTGTGAGGGCTGGAGGGTCTTCAAGGTGACTACAGCCCTGCAGCTCTCCAGCTTCCAGACCATTAGGAACAAGCCCAGTCATAGCATCCAGAGCATTACACGAGAAAATCAGACCCAACGTTTCTTCTCAAACACAGAAAGTGATTTTACATACTGAAGGCATTCAAAAATCATCGATTATGAAGTTCCAAAATTCTGTGAAGAAGACACTTGCAGGAAAATGACCAGTGAGTGCAAATTAACATGGCAAAGACAGAAGAGAGTTTCTGACACAACACTCAGCTTCTCTGAAGGAGTCTGTGAGCAGACCATGTAATTCCTGTGCTTCTAGCAGCATCCCCTTATTTTTTCCTGGAATGGGCCTCAGGAAACAAGAAGGGATGAATATTACATCACTTGTATCCACCAAAGAACTCAAAGGGATCTGTCATCTCAAAACCCATGTCATCGGTGTAAGTCACACTTCACTAGCTCTCCCAGTAACCTCTCTCACAGCGAGGCGGCCAAAACCAGTCATCAAATGCTGCATAAGACAAAAATTGGAGCAAATGAACAATTACTCAACATACCTTTTGTGAAAGGAAAGTACTTGCACAGTTATTCCATCTCCCTAGCCAGTTCACAAGCAAGTCAAAAATGCTGTGATCAAATCTCTTGAAAGCCATCATCACTCTTAAACAACGAAAAAGTATTCAAGACACCTCATTTCTTTTGCTTATTACTGAAACTATTAGAACTAGTACATTCACCAGAACTGCAAAAAAAAAAATAGAAGTTATATATAACATAGATGAAGAAGAATCACAAAACCCTCTAGGTAACACTGAAGGTGATTTTCTCATACAGCTCCTGATTCAGGACTTCCCTTTGATTAAAGCTATTTTTGGCATTTCAGTGCCAGGTCTCCTCTTTCTTCAGTAAGTAAGTTTTTCTAAGTAAACCTTTCCTCTTACTTACCTGTGCCTTCAGGCAGAGTACAATATAAATTCTCTTCAATCAATGGTTTACCGAGGTTAAACTGTTCAAAGGAAGAGAGGTCTACGAGACAGCTTTGTATTACAGACAAACACATGCAGTACAAGAGATATGACAAAATGAATGGTGATCTGGTGTTTATCAATATACGCTACTGGAACCAAGAGTGGATTTGAGTAGGATTTTTTTTCATTATTATTATTCAAGAAAATTGAATATAGATCAAAATAACTAATTGCAGTATGCATCCCAAAAGAATACTTACTTCTTATGCAATCAGAGGAACTTACTTTTCCCTTAAAAGAATCCAGCATTTTTTTAGAACAGCAAACATATTTAAAAATAAAACAATAGTATTACGCGAGTTCAAGAGGAGGAATAGAAATAGACTTCTTTTTGTAACTCAGCTTTTCTTTTTTTTTTTTTTGGTAACAGCAGCTTATTTTTAGGCCTTCAGTTTTTGGTATTTTATTCAGAAGCAGTCAACAAAGACACAGAATCATCTCATTTTACTAGGAAAGCATGATGAAGCATAAGACAAAAGTTTAAATTTGGTGGAATTTTTTAAACCACCCCACTCAAACGTACCACAAAAGTTCATAATTAACCATCAAATTATTTTTTTTCTTAGTCTTTTTACTATTCAGGTTGTGTTATATGCATTAAATATCTTTTAAATATACTAATGAGTAAAGTATTTTTTCTTATTTTTCTTATTTATTTTATAATGAAATATCATATACATGTAACAAAACATTATATATGCAGCCATCAGCCTTTCTTCTCCACATTTGCCTTCCCTCCTCCCCCCATCACTCTTTCTAATCACTCCCAACCACCCATCTTCTCTGCACCACTCACAAACACACTGTAACTGTTATTCTTTTCCCTTAATTCCTTATGTTCAGGCTATTACAATTCTCACACTACACATTCCTTCAGCATTCTCATCTGAAGCACCTTCCTCTGTTGCTTCACGTCTTCCATCTGATTTATCTTCTCCTTCCTTCCGCTCCCAGACAGCTCTGCATCCACCTTCTCATTACGTTCTGCAACAAGACAAGACAGAGCCTTCCCTCTGGCCACCTCTTCAGAGCTGGTAAAAGACCAGGGCTCCCGAAACTCGCTTCTTGGCTTCCTCTTGACCCAAATTCCGCCATGTAGTGATTATTTTTATCCCCTTTATCTGCTTCCTTCCAAATCACACTCAAGCACTGTTTCCTGTCACCACTACAAGGCTTTGCAACATCACTGTCCCCTCTGTACAGCCTCTCCCTGCTATCATCAAGCATAGAGGTCACCCAACCATAGAAAGATGTGCTAGCTTGCTGATCAGCCCTGCTATGGGAACGACTTGCTTTTTTTGTTCTATTCACACTGTACCTCATGAACACATGTGTTTTTCTTATGTTATTGTTTATATTGCAAACTCTGTGGAATAGTGGTCATCCCTCTCAAAAATTTAACATGTGACAAACTCTTGCTGTAAATGAGCAAACCAAACAACTGCGTTTAGATTCCTAACTTTTTTTAAATTGCATTTACAGCACTGGTCACATTAGGGGACACTTCTATCAGCTGACATTTCAGGAACACAGGATTTGAAGAAACTGGCTGGGTCAACTCAATTACCCACTTTTAGTCCAACATGAACAGCCACCTCAGAAGCCTCAAATCAGTCAGCACCTTTAGATGTTCAGCACAAGAAGCTGAAGGCCATTAAAATTATGTGCTGCAGAAAGAGCAGAAAGATCAAGACCTTGGCTGATGCTTTAAGACTGCTGCAAAAGAAATAGGAAAACAATACTGAAATACAGGATTTACATTTCTCCTGACTTCATATTGAAAAGAAACCCCAAAGGATAAGAAATGCATATTTAATGAATGAAAAAAAAAAGTAACACTCGTTGGCTTTTATACTTTGCCATTAAACAAAATTACACAATCAAATTGTCAAAAGATTAGCTTAGAAAGAACAAAACAAAAAGATGCAGTTCGTAAGTTGACTGCAAGATAGTTTCTTTGAGCTATGTGGCTACACAGAGACAAAGACTGAGCTTTCCTGTCAGGACAACACAGTTGTGAAGTAGATCAGACGACGTATTAACAGAAATGCAGGCACCAATCTCCTTGCTTATTAATTCTTTTCTCTTTTCCAGACCATCTTAAAGCAAAGTTTCAACAGCTGATTCCTCTTTTGAAAATATCACACAATTGCAGAGCAATTCAGGTTGGAAGGGACCTCAAGAGGTCACGCTCCTTGTGAACGCCACAAAAAGGTTAAAACCAAGGAATGAGGAAAAGCAAAGAACAGGTATCAAACTTACCATGGACTTGATTGATTTCTGAATTCTGAGAAAGAATTTCATCTGCCAATTTTTGAGCAGTTGGCAAAACTTCTGTGTGGTGTACTGTGATCAAATACTGTACAAATTTTTGTAGTTGGTCTCTGTTCATTTTGTCTCTGAAATGGGAAGATGCAGTTTGACCTGATCTGGCTTGCGGATCCGGTATAAAGACAGTGCCACAACGTGGGCACAGTAAAATATGTCCTTGTTTCCACAGCTACAGGTCACTGAGGTAATCTTGCAACGATCAAAGCTGATAGCTACATTGCAAACAGTTTCTGGCTCCGATTGCATTGCAGGCTCTGTCACTGTGCCACTCAAGTGGAAACCTGTGCAGAAAAAAACAAAAATGCTTTCATTATTGGGTAAAATACTATAATCTCACTGTCAATTACCTCTCTCTAAGAGAGCAAAACGAAAGTCTTTATGATAATATTTTAAAGCATTTGCTTTAATTACACTCACCTACAAGGTACCCTTTCTTTCCAAAATACCCCTTTCATCTCCAATAATTACTATTAGAGGTAAAAAGCTGGTTTATGAGCTTTCTGCCATTCCATAACATGCCTAAGAGCCTGGTAGTTAGTATTCAGTAAAAGATGGCTGCAAAAGCAGAGTTTTACCTAACAAAGCCAAAGTGAAACTCCCAGTAGTCCAGCAAGTTTGGAGCATTTTTCCAAACCCCTCACCAAAAAGAACGCACCTAGGAGAAAGTTTAAACATTCCTGCAAGAAGCAGGAGGGAAGTAGTGCACTCTAGTGGCACGAACCCAGGCCTGGATTGATAGCAACTCTGCCACTGATTCACTTGCACAAGTCACTGAACCCCTTGGCTGTCACCTCACCACCCGTGAGCTCGCCCTCACACAAGCGACGCACTGAGAGCTACATCTGTAAAGCTCTTTGGAAATGGAAACTGCTGCAGCTACCGTCTTACGGGAAACCAAAGTCACAGCACTGAATCAGACCTACGTGCACCTTTTGAGAAGTCTGTGTGATGAGCCTGCTTTCCATTCAGCATGGCAAAGGATATGGCAGAAGAGCAGGGCTTTCTTATATTGTAAAATGACAAGTTACATAGCAAAAAAACCATCCACCTCATCCAAGTCTTCAAGGCTCCAAGGAGAGCCCCAAATTGGGGTCTCAGGCACTAGGCTCTGAAGTTCGGACCTAAATCTTCTTCCCAATATGAAGGCCCAACTTCTGCTCTCAATACTTTGTCTTGGAACAGCAGTATTTGGGTGGTTCTTTTTAGATTTTACGCAAGCATGACACTGATTTTGAGTCAGGCATTGAGTCAGAGACATAATGCAGAGCAATACAACCAAATTTCATATGCTGTATCAGTAAACAGTGCATATAAAACAGAAATAATTTGGAACAGACCCTAAGAAGTCGTTAACTATTTATAATGGAAATAACAAAAACCACACTCCTTTGAAGTCGCAAACTGATTTAGTATTCTTAAAGCACAAGAAAAATGTTGTAGGAAAAGGCATTACATCAGAGTTAGGTGGAAAAAAAAGAACATATACGCATATCCAGGCCAATACGTTAGACCTCCACTTTTTCAGAAAAGCCTGCTCAGTTACAGGAAACCTAGAGGAAAGTGCCTCATTTTTTCCGAAGTGTGTTTACACTGTACATTTCAGAGCAGGTTGTGTGGCCAGCACCACTGTTTGGATCACACTCAACTGCAGTATCTGATACACTCCTCTGGAGAAGGTCACAGGCACGCGCTAGCCTAGCCCTTGCAGGAGGATGTTTACCAGCTGGTTCGGGTTCAAACTCCAGAGGCAGCAAGCTGGAAAGCGCGCGGAGAGGAAGAGGAGGCAGGAGGAGCAAGCGCAGAGCATGTGGTGGTTGCTCTTGGCTCCACTCAACACTCAAGCACCAAAGGGGAGCGGGAGGGCCCTTCAAGTCATGAGCTCCTCCCTGCGGCCTCCATTTTTGTTTAATAGCCATGACGTGCCCCTGGGAGGGCTCTCTCCAAAGTCAAAAAGCCAAAAATAGGGTCTTTGTTAAAACTGAGTCAGCTCTATTTATTTCCAGCCGCTTCCTGGGAAATGAAAGCTGGATTGGTGGTCTCCCAGAAATCCGCATGGGAGCATGCTGCAACGCCGCATTGTGCGGGACGCTTTCTTTTTAATAGCAGTTTCCTGTGAAGCAGACGTGGAACGGCCTCTCCGCTGGGAGCTGAGGAAGAGACGGCACTTGAATAGCGGCGCTGACATGACCCGATCCCACTTCCTTCCAACTCGCAGTAAATAGGTAAAGTCCCATTAATTCTGACAGAAAAACGCACAAAAAAATTTTAAAAAAGTGGGGTGGAGAAAAAAAAAAGAGGGGGGGGGGGGGGGAGGTTAAAACCCAGCCACTCCAATCCTATTATGGGTTTTAATTTGTCAAGCCACCAAAAGGCTACCACCTTGCTGGAAGGACAAACATCTCCAGAAATATTTGGAGGTACCGCCTCCCTTGAAGCCCTACTCAGGCTCGAGCACCAGTAGAGCTCCCTGCTCCTGGCAGAGATTTCGGGGAATTCACGTTACAGCAGTAACATTTACAAACTGAGGCCCTGCTCTAAACAACATCGCTGCTCATGCAGCAGGGTTACCTAACCTGCCCTCCTTAGGTTACAGAGGATTTAAA